GCCACAGAGACATTAGAAAGAATGTTTTCAGTGTTAGAGTAGTTAATAAATGGAATGAATTAAGCAGAATTAAGCTTTTTTTCCAGGGACGTGAGATTCAGCTCCCTTAGCCTTTCCTCGTAGATGGAGGCAGACTCCATATACAGTTTCAAATGTAGATATGACAGAGCCCAGTAGTCTCAGGAATCTGTACACCAGATGATTGACGGTTGAGAGGCGGGACCAAAGGGCCAAAACTCAACCCCCTCAAGCACAACTAGATAAGTACAACTAGATAAGTACAAGCCGAGGAATTTATGCATAATCTTTTAACTCACATAAGAGTATAAGCAAAATGTAAGAAAACCGTTACATAATTTTGGAGATGCAAACATGAATAGAATCTTAAGTATGCACGGATTTTTGTTTATTGTAGTTTTATTGATTTATTGAGTTTATTTTTATTGATTTTTATAGTTTAATGTGCACCCCATACTCATCCTGTGGGCGGTAGTTTATTGTGCTCACCATATACTGTGAGCAGTAGTTTATTGTGCTCACCATATACTGTGAGCAGTAGTTTATTGTGCTCACCATATACTGTGAGCGGTAGTTTATTGTGCTCACCATATACTGTGAGCAGTAGTTTATTGTGCTCACCATATACTGTGAGCGGTAGTTTATTGTGCTCACCATATACTGTGAGCGGTAGTTTATTGTGCTCACCATATACTGTGAGCGGTAGTTTATTGTGCTCACCATATACTGTGAGCGGTAGTTTATTGTGCTCACCATACTGTAGGCTATAGACATGTTTTCTAGAAAAAATATATTATGTTCGTGTAGAAGTAATAGGTTGCGAAGCCTACGACTGAATGCCACAAGTTGTATGGCGAGGCTCCAGATTAACACTCAAGTGAGATCAACCTTACGTAATTTCTTTAATTAAACGAATATATACTAAAAGATCCAGAATCAAATCAAATTAATTTAAAACAAATAATAACAGTGTTCCGGTTTGTTTTCCATGGGTGAGTAACTGGCCAGGCCAGATTCACGAAAGCACTTACACAAGCACTTACGAACGTGTACATCTTTCCTCAATCTTTGACGGCTTTGGTTACATTTATTAAACAGTTTACAAGCATGAAAACTTCCCATTCAACTGTCGTTATTGTTATAAACATCCTCCTGGTGCTTCGGAGCTCATTAACTGTTTAATAATTTGAAACAAAGCCGCCAAAGATTGAGAAAAGATGTACAGGTATGTAAGTGCTTGCGTAAGTGCTTTCGTGAATCTGGGGCCAGGCCACCAACACTAGGACGCCTGCGGCCATGGGGAAAAATATATCGCTGCCAGGGTAGTGTCCACTTTTCTATATCTTTATAAGCAGGTAGCGAGCTCTCGGTACCACACACACGCAGCGCCAATGCTAAGTGCTAACCTTCTTGCCGCATACTTTTTGCAAGGGAGAAGATTTGTCCAGCTGTCACCCATTTCTTACTTTGCTGGAAATTAATGTAGAAAGTGGGTTATTGTTTTAATCATGATATACTGCGATATAATTTATATTATTTTGCTAGGTTAAAAGCAGGTATTGTATATAGCTTCATGAAATTAATATGGTATTTAAAATTCTTATAATTATATGTAGCATATATGCATGTATTTATATACGCGCGGGATTAGGAATTATGACATTTAGCGTTGACATTTGTCGTTCAAGATGCTGAAGGTGTCACATGTTAATAAATTACTAGTCCACGTGCTTCTATATGTACGTGTACACCTGGCGCGACAACCTAGTTGTATTAAGTAGTTCATTGTGCACCGCATACTCATCCTGTGAGCGGTAGTTTATTGTGCACCGCATATTCATCCTTTGAGCGGTAGTTTATTGTGCACCCCATACTCATCCTGTGAATTTTAACGCAAAAGGACTACGGAAGTCACATAATGTCAATGAGACCCAAGTGGAAGGTGTTTGACATTCGCTACTACAATTGATCTGTACACTGTATATTTAATTATATTGATAATTATTAACAGAACACCGGTTGCACAGCAACTGCCATGTATAACAAGAGAGAGAGAGAGAGAGATGTTGTTGTTACAGATTCGCTACCAGGAACAAAAAGTTCCAAGTAGCACGGGCTATGGTGAGCCCGTAGTGCCGTAGAGAGAGAGAGAGAGAGAGAGAGAGAGAGAGAGAGAGAGAGAGAGAGAGAGAGAGAGAGAGAGAGAGAGAGAGAGAGAGAGAGAGAGAGAGAGAGAGAGAGAGAGAGAGAGAGAGAGAGAGAGGAGAGAGAGAGAGAGAGAGAGAGAGAGAGAGAGAGAGAGGAGAGAGAGAGAGAGAGAGAGAGAGAGAGAGAGAGAGAGAGAGAGAGAGAGAGAGAGAGAGAGAGAGAGAGAGAGAGAGAGAGAGAGAGAGGAGAGAGAGAGAGAGAGAGAGAGAGAGAGAGAGAGAGAGAGAGAGAGAGAGAGAGAGAGGAGAGAGAGAGAGAGAGAAGAGAGAGAGAGAGAGAGAGAGAGAGAGAGAGAGAGAGAGAGAGAGAGAGAGAGAGAGAGAGAGAGAGAGAGAGAGAGAGAGGAGCTCTCGGTACCACACACACGCAGCGCCAATGCTAAGTGCTAACCTTCTTGCCGCATACTTTTTGCAAGGGAGAAGATTTGTCCAGCTGTCACCCATTTCTTACTTTGCTGGAAATTAATGTAGAAAGTGGGTTATTGTTTTAATCATGATATACTGCGATATAATTTATATTATTTTGCTAGGTTAAAAGCAGGTATTGTATATAGCTTCATGAAATTAATATGGTATTTAAAATTCTTATAATTATATGTAGCATATATGCATGTATTTATATACGCGCGGGATTAGGAATTATGACATTTACCGTTGATATTTGTCGTTCAAGATGCTGAAGGTGTCACATGTTAATAAATTACTAGTCCACGTGCTTCTATATGTACGTGTACACCTGGCGCGACAACCTAGTTGTATTAAGTAGTTCATTGTGCACCGCATACTCATCCTGTGAGCGGTAGTTTATTGTGCACCGCATATTCATCCTTTGAGCGGTAGTTTATTGTGCACCCCATACTCATCCTGTGAATTTTAACGCAAAAGGACTACGGAAGTCACATAATGTCAATGAGACCCAAGTGGAAGGTGTTTGACATTCGCTACTACAATTGATCTGTACACTGTATATTTAATTATATTGATAATTATTAACAGAACACCGGTTGCACAGCAACTGCCATGTATAACAAGAGAGAGAGAGAGAGAGAGAGAGAGAGAGAGAGAGAGAGAGAGAGAGAGAGAGAGAGAGAGAATATCAACACTGGACATCACATACCAATCCAGGTCTCTCGAACAGTACGTCGCATTTTGACGTATAAATCCCCCTACGGCTAAAAACTAATGTACTAAAAATCATAGCGGCTCACAAAATGAATGCGATATCCCGTTTTCTTTTCGTTGGCTCTTGGTTAGGTTAGATTTGGGCAATTTAGTACATCAGTTTATTGCCGCTGTGAACGCTGGAGAGGGCGGGCCGCACGGATACAGTTGGTTGTTATGTTGTTGTTGTTATAGCTTCAGCTACTCGGAACAAGTTCCAAGTAGCACGGGCTATGGTGAGCCCGTAGTGGTTGTTATTGTTGTAGGCTTCATAGGAGGAAATGTACATGTTTATCTCTCAGAATGTTTGGTAATATGTTTATTGTTTATGATGTGTGTATATGTATGTATTAACACGATGTACTGAACGGGGTGAGAATAGCTTGAGCTACCTCATCCCTCTGTGTGTATTTTACCTCAATAAACTTATTTCAATTTCAATTTTTCCTCACATACATTTACCCCTATCTGCTGGAAACGAATATTTGAATATAGTTCAAGAATTTCAGTTGTTGCACCATGATCATTATTTACGCGCGGATACAAGTCACATCGCGCACAAGACAGATCGTCAATGGTTTTATGAACCTCCCTAACCTTACACAACCTAACCCAAACCAACCAACCCTAACTCCAACCTAACACAGCCTAACCTAAAGTAAATACATATTAACCTAACCTAAACCAACCTAACACAGCCTAACCTAAAGTAAATACATCCTAACCTAACCTAAACCAACCTAACACAGCCTAACCTAAAGTAAATACATCCTAACCTAACCTAAACCAACCTAACACAGCCTAACCTAAAGTAAATACATCCTAACCTAACCTAAACCAACCAACATAACACAGCCTAACCTAAAGTAAATACATCCTAACCTAACCTAAACCAACCTAACACAGCCTAACCTAAAGTAAATACATCCTAACCTAACCTAACCTTAACCAACATAACACAGCCTAACCTAAAGTAAATACATCCTAACCTAACCTGAACCAACATAACACAGCCTAACCTAAAGTAAATACATTCTAACCTAGCTGTGTATACGGTTTTTACAAATAAAACGAGCTTTTTGCTCGAACATAAGCCATTAATCTTGGAAGCCTCTACTGCCTCGTAAATTTCACAAAGCGATTTATGGCGTTTAAGTTTAAATGCTATATTCCTGTTACCGTTTCCGGTAGCGCGCAAGGATGTGGCGGGATCTTTACAACACCCACCCACGCTTTTCATAACCCTTTTTTGTGTTTACATTTGTTTAATATTATTGAGATTGTTTTAGTATGGTTTGGTGTTGGGCTTAAGGCCTCCGTTAGACGCGGAGGGATATTATTAATATAGACCACTAGTTTACTGACCAACCAGAAGTATACTTTTGTCCTTATCATAGTACAGGATTAATTAATATCTCAGTTTCTTTCCACCTAGAAATTGGGTCCCATTTTCGCCTTAGGGAATGTTTTGCCACCAGCACCACACAAATTGGTAATGTGAGCATTAATGCTGTATATTCCAGGCATCAAATTTTAGCATCAGCAGGAACATTTTGAGGGATTTACTCCCAATCAATGCTACTCCCAACTCATTAGTCTACTTTGTCGTTGCAGGCAATGACCAAGACTTCAACTTCACGAAGAATACTTCTGCTGACTGGAAGGTTTTCTCTTGGCCAGTGTGTCAACATGTGTTTTAGTGAGTAATATTTTTAGTATAGTTTCCCAAACACTCATGTTTCTACATCTAGGGAGGACTTCGATGAAACTAACAGGCTTCTAGTCGCCAAGAACAGTAGCGAAATGAAACAAAAACGTGATGTACCTATTATTGAATATTGAGGCCGTATGGTGGGATCGAACCCTGATGCCTGGGGAGGCCAGGAAAGCGGTTCCAATTCTATTGTACGGCTTCAGTATTTCCTGGTATATTGGAATATCCTCAAAAGCCGACTGGTGCTGTTAGCGTGAAATTTTACAAAAGATTTTGCCAGCAGTTACAACTAGTTATATCAAACAATGATTAGGGAAAAGACTGGACCATTAAACACTGAGACGGGGGCAAATAAATGACAATGGCAACAATTTGTCAACCATGAAGGAACAATGACAGGAAAAATTCCTTAAATACTTTCGTATTAATCAATACATCATCCTTACACATCGTGTCAGCAAGGCGGACAACCCGCCTGCTTTCATACCTCTCACTGTATTTCCCACTTCTATACTTCCCTTCACCTATGCCTCTCCTTCCTCTTCACTCCCCCACCCCCGAAAAAATCCTTCTGAAGACGTATTAATTAATACGAAAGTACTTAAGAAATTTCCACTCATTTTTATATATATATATATATATATATATATATATATATATATATATATATATATATATATATATAAAATTATATATATAATTTTTTATTTTCATTAAGAAAAGGAATGTGTTTACAGGAAAGTATGACAGTGAAAAGTTTGAGGTTGTGAAGCAGCTGTCGGGCCTCGCACGTAAGGCAGGAACCCAGGATGTGGGAGTTTCTCCTCTCGATCCCTGAGGTTAAACAGGAAACTACTGGCCAACTCTTTCAGAAAGTAAATTGAATCTTTTACCGTAAGATTCATTTTTTTAAACTCATTGGACATAATAGTACTGATGATATATTTTTCTGTACAGTACATGTTTGTTTCCCTGTGGACGGTGGCGCCCCCTGGTTCTCCTACCCTTAAAGGGATGAGAACGTGCTCCAGGGTGGCAGCTCATGTAGTCCCATCACCTGAAGGGGGTGTAGTATGACCCTGCCTGGGCAGTGAGTAGGGGTGTGGGGGCTAAAATATACTAAGAGTATACTTTATTATACTTGCTAGTTGCTCAGTATGCTCTTGTGGTGGCCTTAATAGCCGTCCTGTGGTTAACCGTTCTTAAGCCCAACACCAAACCGTTGTCAATATCTTATCCACATCAATATTTGATTTCCACCTGAGGGGGAAATTTGCATTAGTGGTAAGCTGATGGTGGAGATAGTCCGGTCCGCGGAGAAAGTGAGCATGTGGGAGGAGTCCATGTCCATATATCCGGGTGGAGAGACAGGAATGTCCGGGAGGCGACGCATGCCCGGCGGATAAGGGCGGGAAAGCGAAAACAGAGAAGTTTGAATGGAGTTAAGAAGCGTGAAGGGGCAGGAGGAGGTGGTGGTGGGTGGCCCCTGTCAGTACGCTGGTGGGAGACCTCATTATACCCCGCTGCACAAAAGGCCGTAGGGTCCTTTACCTATATCTTACCTATACCCGGTTTCGAGTCTTTCTACTCCCGAAGCACTGCATGTCGTGTGATAACGTGGTCCTTTAGGCTGTAATGTCGAGGATAGCAATCGATAGGTTATCCTCTACAACCTGCTTCGGCACTTACAGCGGAAACTTGGCCAATTGTCTCCTGAAACTCTCCACATGTGTTCCGGAAATATTTGTTATATACTTCAGGAGGACGTTGAAGACGTCTGGGTCTCTTAGGTTGAACAGTGTTCTCTGTGGCAAAGGTTTTCTTAAGAAAACAAATGATGAAGAATCTGATGGGCCACCGACGGTTTCTAATCTCACGTCGCTGTTGTTGTTTTAGACTCGGCTACTCGGAACCAAAAGTTCCAAGTAGCACGGGCTATGGTGAGCCCGTAGTGAACTTGCCTGGCACAGGAGCGGGACTGTACCTGACGACGCCCGATATGAGGCGCGTTATGCGAACGTCGGAAATACGGCGAGTGACTAGATATAGTCACTCGCCATGCTGGAGCTGCATACTCCAGTCTGACATATGTGATACGGCGAGAGACTGAGAGCCTCATCCGTGTGATGTTGTAGTGACCAGCTGTTGAGCAGGTGGTGTGCAAGCTCCCCTTCTCTAGTACTGAGGACACTATGTCTTCCCCATCATCACTGCCACTGTTCAAACCAACCCAGCCTAATCTAACCCAGCCTAACCAACCCATCCTAATCTAACCCAGCCTAACCAACCCATCCTAATCTAACCCAGCCTAACCAACCCATCCTAATCTAACCCAGCCTAACCAACCCATCCTAATCTAACCCAGCCTAACCAACCCATCCTAATCTAACCCAGCCTAACGAAAATACGAGATAAAATGTCCGGTTCTTCTATATGGTGTGTGACGTCACAATGTTCGTGTCTGTACAATTTTTAGATCCTAATGGAGTTCCCTGGTTGACCTGTGACTTGGAGTGTTACTTGTGTATACCTGGAGTGTTACTGAAGTATACCTGGAGTGTTACTGGAGTATATCTAGAGTGTTACTGGGGCCTCGATGAGTCTAACAGGCTTCGTGCCCCGGACAACGAGAAAGTATAGAGAGTGGGAGCTTAGCATGTTCAAGGAAGTGATGAAATAACTGGAAAATGTGGCGGGAGTTTCTGGGTCTCACTACCTCCCCCCCCCCCATATATATATATATATATATATATATATATATATATATATATATATATATATATATATATATATATATATATCATTTAATTATTTATAAGTGTTGTATGTAGTGAGGTGAAGGTAGGAAGCGGCCAGGGTAATAACGACTATGACGGAGCTACTTAAGGAACACGTAGTGTATTACATCGTCCATATAAGTGGGTGAAAGTAGAGGAGCGCCAGCATAGCAATGACGACAGTGGTGGTGGAGGGGGGCGGCCGCCCCCTCTCACACGTTTGTGGTAGAGGATGTACATAGTGAACCCGGGATCCTGGACTCGGGATCCTGGACTCCTCACACACCCTCCTTTATTGCCTCATAACACCTCCTGCCGGTTTCTGATTTGCCTTTGGTTTTCTAGATATGTTAAGAATTGGTCAGATAATTAAGCACAAACCCCCTTCAGAGAGAGAGAGAGAGAGAGAGAGAGAGAGAGAGAGAGAGAGAGAGAGAGAGAGAGAGAGAGAGAGAATAGCTAGGGAGAAAGTTAAGACATAATAATAAGGGTGTAGATGTGATAAAGAGCCAAGGAGGGAAATACTAGAAGAGAAAGTGAGATCGGCGTCCATAAGAAACACAGGTAACACGGAGTGTGCTGGGTCACCACTACCTCACCTCCCACCACCCCATGGTTGGTGGTGGCACGTGTGGTAGGTGTGGCACGTGTGGTAGGTGTGGTGAGTGTGGAACGTGTGGTGAGGGGTGGCAGGTATGGTTGCAACCCGTTCTCGCACTTTCTTATAGTCAATATTGGCTTATTAATAAGTGCATATGTGACATACTAATTTATTGTGAATATTTTAGTTTACCTTGAAAAGCTTAATAGAAAACACCGAGCTAACCTAACCTTCTTAGTATGTTAAGATAAGCATCTTATTGCTTCTTAATTACAATTAGTACTTAACCTATACCTATATTGATATTACAGTTTCATTAAAATAATCAAACAAAACCAAAATATTTAAATAAATTGTAAAGTAACTCAGGATATTGACAAATATTGTATAAAATCTCTACTGTTTAATAAAACTGAAAAAGAATTCCTAATATTAAAACTGGTGTTTAGCAAATCTATAGGAAGAGTTTGTACCTTAAAAACAAAGTATAACGTGGCATATACCACGTATCTACTTATTAATCAGCCAAATAGTGACTATAAGCAATAAGTCATATATGTACTGTCTTGTGCGAGAGTTGGTTGCATCATGTTGTGGGTTGCAACCACAACATGGTGAGTGTAGCACGTGTGATGAGTGTGGCATGTGTGGTGAGTATATCAGGTGTGGCACGTGTGGTGAGTATGGCAAGAGTGACATATGTGGAAAGTCTGGCAAGTGTTTCCTTCTCTCTCTCTTCTTGTTTGTTCCTATCATCTTGTTTATTTCCTCTTTCCCTACCTTTCGTGTCTTCCTGTTCCCCATCACCCCTTCACACCCCCCCCCCCGTTCCTTGCCCACCCTCCCCTCTCCCCCACCTTTCTCAACAACTTTCTCTCCGTGGTCTCACAATGCGGAATATTCAGCTTTCTTTACGCTCACAGCTGTTTCACTTTCGCGTTCTCTCCAGAAAGTTCACGCGCGCTACACAGCTCGCTTTCACTCTCTCTCTCTGTCTGTCTCTCTCTCTCTCTCTCTCTCTCTCTCTCTCTCTCTCTCTCTCTCTCTCTCTCTCTCTCTCTCTCTCTCTCTCTCTCTCTCTCTCTCTCTCTCTCTCTCTCTCTCTCTGTCTTCTCTCTCTCTCTTCTCTCTCTCTCTCTCTCTTCTCTCTCTCTCTCTCTCTCTCTCTCTCTCTCTCTCTCTCTCTCTCTCTCTCTCTCTCCTGCAAGCAAGGGCTGTTACCCTACCTCAGCTCATCTGAAGCCTACTCCCCGAGTCTCATTTATTTCATGAGCCTATTATATGCATTATTAGGAATAAACTTAACTCTTAAGTAACTATCATATGAGGAACATGATGAGCCCGTAGCCAGCTGTGTGCCAGAGCCTTCAGGTGATCACTTGAAAATTCCAGATGCCAGTTACCATGTACATTCCTAATGGCTTAAATTCGTTATTTAATGCAATTTGTAAAATAAATTTAAAAAAATATTGAAATATTCTTTTGTTTTTGACAACTGTTCAACCACGTTGTTTACGAGGGCCAACTAGCCATGTAGCTTAGGATTGGCCAATCAGGTGTGGTCAGGGGGGGATATTGCCATCATTATGATAATCCGAGACTGGACG